GAATAAGCCAATTGTGCCGAATGACGAAAAGGAGGGACCATCTGGTCAGGCTTCTTTGGGTTCTTCCAGAACCAATCACGAGGGTCTACTGTCAAGTCTTTTGCTGCTGTGTTCAGTCTGAAGGGCAGATACTCTGAGTGCAGAGCCTTGACATCTTCCAACACACAAACAGCAGTCATGCCCTGAGGGTCCGAAGTGATAGAACTCGCAGTCTTCTTCTGCAACGGCGTTTCCAGTCCCTCGTATCCATCTCTTTTTCTTTTTTCCTTTTTTTCAGAAACCCGGCCCAGGTTGCTAGTGATAATGATAAGAGCATCCATCACTAGCAGCCCGGCTACGGGCTCCATTCTATTGGTGATGAGCTGCACCTGCTAGAAACCGGGTCCAGCATCCCTGATACAAATGCCCTCGTACCCATCTTGCGCTTTCCAGCTCGCGAGTTCCCAAGTGGAGAGAGTACTCTGCCATTCCAGCCTCAACAACTGCTCCGACTGTTCTACCGATCTTCCTTGAACCAGGTCTCACGTAAGTAAGTTAAACGTTCTTCCTGCAATACTGTGAGCCAATCTGGAGAAATGGAATGCAAAGGCATGCATAATTATGCCGCCAATTTCGAAGTCTGGACAATTTCCCTTGCAGTTGATGGTGAGCCTTCCAAATTTTGCTGCTGCTATCCCACAATTGTGAAATGGTAGCCACTCCTTTTGACATCCAGGCCTGACCAAAAGCACCCTCCCCAAGGATTTGGAACGGTTGTCCGTCCAACTGTTGGATATAGGGATTGTTCAAGTTAAAGGGAGGTTGGAAAAGAATTATGTCATAGCTGTGAACAGGAACAAGCCTTTCAGGGAGGATTTGTCTCCAAGATCCCAGAATGCCCCTCGGGACACCGCCCTTTTTCGACAGTATTCATCAGTAAAGAGAGAGAGGTATACTACGTCCAGAGAGGCAGCAAACTTAAAGTTTGTTGTAGGATAGTGGGATAGGGGTTGCGCTAGGAGTATTGTCGTGATGATGGGATGGGAGGTGGTCTCATATTCCAGGACACCCACGGCCTACTGCTCCAGGTGATCACTGTGTACACAGTGACTGGCCTCTACAACACCATGGACTTCATTTAAAAAAAAAAAAAAAAAAAAAAAAACAGTTTGTTGTAAATAAGGTTAGAGTCCAAACTTTCCACGTGGCTGTTTGTTTTGTGAACAAGAGACGAATGGGTCATTTGGTGAGCATAGCTTGGATCCGCAAGTTGGGGTCCTGTACACCCAAACCATCCAGCATCTTTTTCTGAGTGATCTTAGTCCATGTGTGCCATACTGTGTAGCCACACGGGCCTGCAGGGCCCGTCCCGCATTCTCAGCCGAAAAGCCTAGAAATAAGGGCTTACAGGCCCCTGTCGTTTCAGCCTGAAAACTGAAAACGAGGGCCTGCAGGCCCTATTTCGTTTTCAGCCTAAAACAGGGCTTTTCAGCCCTGAGGCTTTTCAGCCTGAAACGGAGGGCCACTTTCGGGCCCTCGTAAGATCGACCTAACCTAACACTCAGGCACAAAACCAGCGTTTTCGGGAACAGGCTATTTCTGGCCTGTTCCCACGACAGCCTCAAGCAGGAGCTGCAACGGCAGCCCCTGACTCCCTGGGGCATTGGCAAGAGCAGCCTCCTGGACTGCCTCGCCCTGCAGACAGGAGGCAGGCCGAGAAGTACATAGGGAGTTCCCATGCACTTCACGGGTAGGTAGTTGGACAGAAGGCAGGAGTAGTTTCAGGATTCGCCCGCAGCACTCAGGAGGAGCGCTGCAGGAGTAGCTTAGCGCTAGTAGCCATAGCAGTAGTCTTCAGCGCTGGGCGCTAGTAGCCATAGCAGTAGTCTTCAGCGCTGGGCGCTAGTAGGTGGTAGTAGTAGAGTTGGGAGAGATGGCTGGCGGAGGCCAGTGG